CCCCCCCCCGGGTCAAAGGCATCTTGGGGTTTCGGCTCAGTCCATACCCCAAGAAGATTCCAGCTTGGCTTCTCTCTCTCTGCTCTGTTCAGGTCCCGGATACAGGTTTCTCTCTCTGCTTGTCCGTTTCATTGCTGTTGCTGCTTCTGCTGCTTCTTCGCAGAGGCTTCTCTCCTCTGAGCTTCTGTCAGCTCAGAGTCATGGCTGCTGGCCCAGCATCCTCCTGGCCAGGGCCAGCAGGGTCCAGCCAGCCTATCACCACCCCTCCTTCTCGGTGAGGGAAGTCAATGAGGCCGACCGGAGAACTCCTGGGGAGTCTCTTTCTGCTCTGCTTTATGATCACTGCTGCCCCCGCTCTCAGTGGGGAGAAACGGCTGGGAAACTGCTGCAGCCCTGGCCGAGCCAGGGCTGTGGTGGCCCAGGGGGCCTCCCAAATTCGGGGTTCCCCCTCGACTACCCCTCGTTCCTCTAATTCTTTCTGCATAATCATGTCTCAGCTAGGGGCCTGGCTAGTGCCGCACCTGGTCCTGGGCCAGGGCCGGAGGAAAGCCCCTGGCCTCCGCTGGCCATACAGCCCCCTCTCTCTCTCTGCCTCATGGTTTCTAATTCCTACTGCCTCAACCAGCTTCTCTTCTGGTGTATCAAAATATGTCATTTCACAGAGGCGTAACTACAGCTTTCAATTGGCTCTGCATTGGAAGAGCCACTCTGGAGTAAACCATTTTCAGTCTGCCTGGTGGGGGGACTTCTCAAACCACGACAGGGATTGAGTGCACCTCACCAGATTGCAAATGATATCAAGCTGAGTAGTGCGGTTGCCACACCTGAAGGCCTGGATGCCATCCAGTGAGACCTGAACAAGTTCGAGAGGTGAGCCCATAGGAATTTCACGAGGTATAGTAAGACCAAATACAGGGTGCTGCACCTGGGAGGATGAATAGATGGAGAGCAGCCCTGCTGAGAAGGACTTGGGGGTGCTGGTGGATGAGAGACTGGACATGAGCCAGCAATATGTGTGCACAGCCCAGAAAGCCAATATTGTCCTGGGCTGCATCAAAAGCAGTGTGGCCAGCAGACCAGGGGAGGTGATTCTGGTGAGACCTCACCTGGAGTACCACATCCAGGTCTGGGATCCCCTGCACAGGAGGGACATTGACCTGTTGGAGCGAGTCCAGAAGAGGAACACAAGATTAGCAGAATGGAGAACCTCTTCTAAGAGAATTAGGATTGTTCAGCCTGGAGAAGGCTTTAGGGCGACCTTAGCACAGCCTTCCAGTACCTTATGGGACCCTACAAGAGAGATGAAAGCAGACTATTTACAGGGATATTGTAGCAGTGTGAGCTACATTAGAAATCTAAAATCCAATTTCCATGCTCCCCCCCAACCCTTCTCACAATTTATCCTAACACCGGAGAGAAACTTTCAGGCTAGAGGCTTCTGTAGGGGAAGGGGGAAGTATATACATTTATTTACACAAATAAATAAATTGTACAAACTAAAAGCAACTATATATATATATTACATTTCTATCAGTCAGTCCTTTCAAGCCCCTCCTTTAACTTTAGTCCAGGAGCAGCTTTTCAAGGCTGATACGTAACACAGTCTTTTGCCATGGGAGTGTTCTGGGCTCCTGAACACTCCCCCCTCACCAAGTTCTAGTTGTTTGTTGCAGTCTCTTCTCCTCATGAAGTCCAAGAAGATAGCTTTGAGTCCTTGTTTTTCTGCTGCTGTGTGATCTCTCTCTCTCTCTCTGCTTCATACCTCAGTTCGTAGGCTGCTGCAGTGTAGTTCAGCTTATCAAGCGTCTGTGTCCTGGAATGTTGATTTCTCCTCAGGTTTTCGGTTGTCCTGCATTTTAGTTCACAGCAGAGACATCCTCCGGGCCCCCCTCTCTCTCTCTCAGGGGTTCTGTCTCCAATTCTTGCCTGGGAATTTTCTCCCTAGCAATCGAGCCTCCTCCGGCCCATCCACTTGGCTCTGCTCCAATGCTGAGCCTCACATCCACTCTCACTAAACAGCGAGAGGGAAAAACACAGCCCTTCTCTGCAGCTTGGCTGCAAAGGTGGGGGGGAAAGAAGAAGAGGGACTGGCCGAAGGACCTGCCTCTCTCTCTCCCACTTACCAGTTGTTTGTGAGTCACATCCCTCCACAAACATACACTCACTCCAATGCTGTCTCTAACTCTGGCCTAGGCAGAGTTAGGGGGTTTGCAGGGCTCCCCTCTCCCCACCGGAGGGGGAGAGAGGGAGCCCAGCCACCCCCTGGCCTTCAACACCTACACGCAGCAGACACCAACAGCAAAACAACCAAGACAGAACTGCCAACAGCTTCCGGTGCTGTGATATATGATTGTGAGCAGAAGCGAACAACATGGACAGTGACTGGCTCTCCAGGGAACACTGCCCTGGTACCAAATCACCTCTGAGCCCCCCCAGCCTCTCAGGGGAGCCAATTTCAAACTATGACAGATATTTAGTGGTAGAAGAAGGGGGAATGGTTTTAAACTGAAAGATGGTAGGTTTGGATCTGATATTAAGAAATTCTTTACTGTGAAAGTGGTGAGGCACTTTGCTCAGAGATGCTGTGGATGCCCCATCTCTGGAAGTGTTCAAGGCCAGGTTGGGTGCAGCTTTGAGCAACTTGGTCTAGTGGAAGGTGCCCCTGCCCACGGCAGGACAGTTGAAACAAGATGATCTTTAAGGTCCTTTCCAACCCAAGCCATTCTATGATTCTATGATCAATTCCATGATTCTATAACGAAGCACCCACGAACCAGTATTTTCATGACTCTTAGTAAAGACAGGACCATTTTTATTCAGGAGGTGCCACTTCTGTAATAATTCTTAGTCCAGGCCAGCAGGGGAACTTTTGAGTCCAGCCAACTCTTTTTCTGACAATAACCAGTTTTGTATAGGGGAGAAGCAATAATGTACGATTGTGGACTGACATTGAGAAAGCTTTTCTTTATCCTAAATGTCTAATGACAGTTTATAGCCTGAATTTACATTGACTTTGTGACTTTTCTATTGTAAGCATAGTTATTCTTGTTGTCCATGAATATATCAGGTTGATTTGAAGCCTATTGAGCCCTGATTTAAAAGACAACTTGTGGAATAATTATCTCAAGTTAATGATGAACTATGTATAAATTTATTTTTTCTTTATTCATTTGAAAAGGGCTGCCTTTCAGTCTTATGGACTGTAACACAAAGTTATTAGAGAAGATGATTTTATTTGCTGTGCCTACACTATTTTGAACACTTCTGTAGTTTCCTTTTTTATTGTCCTTTCTCTGATCCTATAAATTTTAAAGTGTTTTTCTTTAAATGCTGCTTCATTGTGCTAAGTATATATATATATACACACATATACACAAACATGAGAATGTATAATATTCACATTTAGGTGTAGATGAAACATTAGGATCCATATATCAGTTGCATAACTTTATAAAAACAAGATATTCTATTTAATTAAAGGCAAAAAAATTCTTCCTCATTAAAATCAATTACTTCTATAAAATGTCATCATTAGTCTTAACATCTCTTTTCTGAAAAAAAAAAAGTTGATGTGAATCTTAGGTCTAGGTTTGTCAAATGACGATTTTAGACAGAGATATGTATTATAAATTCTCTCTCAGTTTTCACTGAGAGATCCATTGTTTCTTAGGTAAATTAATTTCAATAATAAATTCAGTTTGTGTTTCTTGTGTTCCAATGTTAAATTTAGATATCTTTTCTAGGTATGAAGGACACTAACAAAACCAAGACTAAAGAGTATTTTATGAAAACATCAATTAACTACAACTGTTAATTTCAATCATCAGTAAACATGAATGAGAAAAACCTATGCTTTCTCCATGCTGGATACCACAGAGTGAAATGCAAGTTTCCAAGTAAATTGGATGCAGATACACAATTCTTACCCAAGTGGTGTTTTGTTAGAAACTTTTTATCTATTACTTACTATTTAGAATACCATGGGTCTAAAAAAGAATACTCTCCTCAGTACTAAATGAAGAGAGAAAACTCATAGTGCTCAGAGACTGAAAGGGCTCACGATCAAAAATCTTTGGTTGAGAGACTGAAAATATTGATGTGCTAATAGAAAAAAAATCATCTCATTCAATCAGCTGAAAGAGAAAGAATTTGAGAGAGGACTCACTGGAAAAAACCCAAAACACTACAAAACAATATTGTCTAGAAGAAATTTTCTGTTCAGACACACATAGACTACGTTCACTATTCTCAGTGAGAGTTGTCTGCCCATTTCAGAGGGCAGAGTTCATCTTTAGCAGTTTAGGCACATCTCCTAAGTGATGATTTGAGCATTGTACAAAGCTTACATTATTCCTAGGTTGACAAAAATAACAGATAAGATTCTGCCTTTCCCTCCTTGGCTTTTTTCCATTATACCCATTACTGAAACAAATTGTCCAGTGCTTATTATGAGGATGAGGTTCTATCTTGTGTTGGAGTTTTGGGGTTAATTTCCTGAGTGAATCAAGAATGTATAACACATTTAAAGTGTGTTCCAAAGTCCAGTAAAATCAGAGGGGCTATGTAATTCATGTTGCATTACGCCCTATATCTCCTACCACTTAAGAAGAAAGAGGTATAGGCTTTCAGCCCCATCATTAAAAGCAGCATCAAACGCCTTACCCATTGAACTATTGCACGCAGAGAATATAAGATAATACATAAGGAGAACAGAAATTAGAGAATAGAAAATAATTGCTAATTTTGTGATAGGGACAACAGTATTAAATTTTTCTTTCTATGAGGCCCTCTATACTTGTTAACATTCAAAATAATGAAACATTTTCAAATTAAAGATAAATTAAAAATAAAGCCTTTGGGAACTGAAGTTTTGAATATATATGAAGAGTTGAAAGCCCTATTAAAATATTCACCCTTAGCTAATAATATGTTCTTTGCTTTCAGTTTCAGCAAGAGGAAAAGCTTGCTATCCTACAGACAATACTAAAATAAACAGACATCAGATATGTAAAATTTTACGTAAGAGTGAATTCAGTAAACCAACTTGCTAATAGTCAGGAATTTACCTTGTGTTCCTAAAAATAAACAAATAATGGTAGCAATAACAAATTCTAAAAGGTGGTCTCAGAGTGGGCTATCAAAAAGATTCTCAGGAAAACTTGGAAAGTGATTATTTGAACAGAGAACTTGAGAACCGAGTCAGAAACTCAAATGCAAGGAAATATTTGTATTCTACTTCTGATGTTTTTTTATCTGTGTTTGCACTGACAAAGTTCTTAGTGGAAAAAACATGTCTGGTTTGTTGAGCCTGTGTATTTTCTATTTTCAAATGTCCCATTTACAAGACAGCAAATAAACAATACATGACACCTACCTTCAGTGTAGATGTGAGCCCAACAATTTATAACAAGAACAGATTTAACTGGAAAATGTCAAATGCTTTGGTCAGAACTAAAGCTGACTGAAAGTTGCAAATATATTTTTAAGGGAAAAGAAACTTAAAGGTGTCTTCACCTTAGATAGAAATCACAACTTTCCCCCCTTTTTTTTCCCCAGCTTGCATGTATCATCAGAAAAAGATGAATTTAAAAGACAGCAAATTTATACAGTTAAAGTATTCATATTTGTGTACAGGTACATCCATATACATATCTATGAGTATATGGAAATTTAATCTCATTTTCTTACTCTCATTAATGCAATAATGAGATAGCCTTGTGTACAAATGAGAATGAGAACTTATGTTTTCCAGTGGCAGAGTGTGGATTCCTACCTTGATGTAAGACTTGATATACTGGACAAATTGAAATGCACAAGAGCACACAGTCAAATTCTTCTTTTAGTAAGGAAGAGCACAAGGATCTGATCTCAGGGAAATGATTCAGGTCAAAATCCTTGGTCTACATGGAGAATGTAAAGCTTTGCTGTTCCTGTGATGCTGTTTTGCACTTGCACTCAGGGTAGGATTTATGAGAAAATGACAGAGTCCTTCAAAAGTTCTGACTTGCTTTTTAGTTTTCTATCCTTTGGCATTCTCCCTTAAACAACACAACACTATAAAAAGACTATCTCTTCCTAATAAACAGATGAAAGGCTTTTTTAGTGGAATGATTGGTTTAAAAACAGAAATAAACTCCATTCTATATAGAAAGAACAAGTAAAAAGTCTTGAACTCCAGCGGTCTTACTCCATTCCTTCATTTTGCTGTAAATATTGATTTACAAGCTTTTGCCACGGACAGTGGCATTTGGGTGAAGACCAATATTGGCTTCTGGTCTATAAACCACTGTGTCAGGTTTGATAATAGACCTAGATAATCTCAAGTGTAAAGTCTTGTGATATCTTCTACGCTGTCACATTGTGAACATAAACCTGACTGGGCACTTTCAATTGTTCTCAGCACAACCAAAATAGTGAAAGAAAATGAAGTCACAGGATCACAGAATGGTGGGGGTTAGAAGAGACCTCTGTAGATCACCTAGTCCAATCCCCCTGCTAAAGCAGGTTGGCCCCAAACATGTTGCACAGGTTTGCATCCAGGCAGGTTTTGAGTACCTTCAGAGAAGGAGACACCACAACCTATCTAGGTAAATTGTTTCTGTGCTCTGTTAATTCATAGTAAGTTCTTCCTCATATTCAAATGGAACTTCCTGTAATTCCATTTGCACCTGTTGTTCCTTATCCTGTTAATGGGCACCACTGAAAAGAGTCTGGCCCCATGCTCTGGCCACCTGCCCTTAAGATATTTGCATGCATTGATAAGGCCCTCGGTCAGTCTTCTCTTCTCCAAGCTAAACAGGCTGAGTTCCCTTGGTTTTCCTTGTAAGATAGATGCTGAAGTCCCTTAATCCTCTTCTTGTCCCTCTGCTGAACCTTCTCTAGAAGTTCCTTGTCTTTCTGGAACTGGGGAGCCCAGAACGGGACATAGTACTTCACATGCAGCTTCAATAGAGCTGAGTGGAGTAGCAGGATCACCTGCTTTGACCTGCTGGAAATACTCTTCCTTATGAACCCCAGGCCTTCTTGGCCACCAAGACACGCTACTGGCTCATGGACAGCTTGTTGTTCACCAGGATCCCC